GCCAAAAACATTGTTCCTGTTTTGGCACCATATTACCCAACCAACCAACCTACCAACCAACTAACCAAACAAACAAACAAACAAGCAAGCAAAATACTTGAATCAACTATCTATCAAAATTCCAGTTCATTTGATATTGCCAATGTTTTTTTTTTTATTTACGGTACACACACATGTTTTGGGGACCATACAACGTTTGAAAACAAGTATTGCGAACGTGTCCTGTTGATGGTTACATGATCGCCGACGTATAAACACATCTGTAAATGTCAAATACTCATAATTTCACCATTGTCGTGTTCTTTGAAACCCATTATTATATAGACTATAACTTTCACTAACCATCAATTAAGTTGCTCAATAAAACATAGCCTGCAACCCACCCTTTTAAATATGTCGTTTATGGCGTTTCAGTCGTATTTTTTTCTATTTTAGAAGTGAAGAATATAAAGGCTGGTGGTCACTATTCATTGCAACAAAGAAGTCACGACCTATCCAATACAGTTAGGAACGCCGGAAAACAAGGTATGTGTACTAACACTACTCACAAATCACTCAATACCAACAAGACCAACCTCAAGTTTTGTTTCAGTAAGACGTTCAGTAAGATAGCAACGTTATGACCTTATTTAATCTTGACGAGCAAAATTATATTTTTATACCAAATAGATTCAAAGTATCTTTCAAAATGAAGACTGATATGTATAGTGAAATAACCAGGAAGAAACAAAATATTCTGTTTTAAACTGATTGACTAGTTATATGTATTTTCATTCAAAGATATAGTCGAGCAAACTCTCTGATTTTGTGATATTTTAATTTCTTCAGTCAGATTGGGATAAAATATTGAATTCTCAAATAATGTAGTATCCTGTGCTTTAATTATACAAACATTATCAAAATCAATATTTCAACATTTCAGAAGTGTTTGATTGTAAGTGTCATGGTTTTGGAAACAATTTTTGATTCACCAATGTGAACTATTTCCAGATATGCATACGCATTTACAAAATTGATTGTAACAAAATGCTTATACAATTATTTTCTCAACAAAGACCATTTATTTTTGTAAAGCAAATCAATAGTGGTCACAAATTTACAAACCTATTTGTGTATACATTTCTTCCTCATTCGATGTGTCCTGTCTTGCCAACGACTCATATCCGGCCTGTAAGGCAGTATCTACAAAATAGAAGTTTTAGTAGCATACAAATATGGCATACGTCTAGAAATAGAACTTAAGTTACACAACGACAATAATGTGTTCACGAATTGAGTAAATTATCATTATCACAGTGATTTCCATCCGTGATCTCATGAAAAAAAAATTGATGATAATAACTTATGCAAAACAAGAATTTCAGATTCAGACAATATACGCTTCCCAAATCTGAACAATTGTCAATGAATTCAAATGACTTTCAGTCAATAAATTTAATCCCGAATTTAAAAACATCTGTAAAGGAAATGATTATATTCAAAGGTTTAATATGAATTGTAAAGCATAATAAAGGGAGAGAATCGCGATAGTCGCGATAGCAGAAGACTAAATCAAATGCAATTTATCAATAGTGTTTTCAATTTGTATTTTTGTTATAAAATTAACTTATGTGCTAGAATAGTTGTTAAAATTTTTGCATTCCTGCGACCTTAAATTTATCAGATTTCCATATGAATTTACTTTCTTAAAAAATACCAACCAAATAAGTGGTTAATGATGTGTAAAAATGATGAGTCTATTTCAATTCCTATATGCATTTGTATATGGTAAGACAAAATGAATGACCAAATAGTCAAGCAAATTGCTTTGATTAAGCTACTGCCACATCAATTTACTTTCACAATGGGACGTAATCTGAGAATGAAACTGTAATATAAGAGATAACGATTTAAATAGAAAAATGAAATAAATAACAGATATACGTTTACTACATTGAAAGCAAAAGCAAGCAAACAAAACTATCGATCTTGATTTGCAATGATAAATGAGAAGACAAAGATATTATCACTAGCATGCGCTTTATTTAAGTTTTTAAGATTTAGTTCAGAAATAGATATCACAATAAATTTGAAGCCAAAAGCACATCTGAAACATTGTGACTGAAAACAACGACAGTTATAATAATTATGTAAGCCGAAATGCATGCACTGCCATTGTTTACATTTGTGGAGACAAATACAGAACAATTCAAATCTTTAAAATGTAAGCGAAAACTTAGTGATAAATATGATCAAAATAGAAATGTACATTCCCAAGAGGCCTATAATGATCTTGATTATTCGACTTATTTCGTTTTAAAAGAAATAAAACAAATATATAAAGCTGAAAGTAACGGAGAAAAATCAGTGCAATGTGATTGATGTCATTTTACGTCAACTTTTAATGTTTAGATGTGTTCCGTCATAAAATACTTTATTGCAAATTGATAAATTCCTTTTTTAACACGCCTCCTTAATAAAGGGAAATGCGCATGAGATAGTGCTAACACTAGATATATTTTACATCAATATAATATTATGACCTTATTAAGTTGAAGACAAATTGTTAAAATTGTTATCTGTCTTTTTCTTTGTAAAACAATTGAATAGCCATTATTTTTTCATATACTTGGTGTTATTACGGCAATTTAGATTAGCGAGTTCAATGCTCAGGAGACTTGATTTAAGAACATAACACTGTGTAATACTGTGACACACTATGTCAAACGCAAGGTGTATTACTTTCATAAAGAGCATATTGTAATTCATTTATGAAACTGACAGATCCTTTGGTTATGCTTTCATAAGGTACATTGTAAAACTTCAACATTTATGACATACATATTGTTACAGTTATGTTTTGATAAAACACATATGGTAATGCTTTCATGAAACAAAAAATGTAATGCCTTCATAAATGTAAGATCAGCTTCCCAATAACTGCTTTGTTCTTTTTCTTACCGTCGTTTCCGCTTCCATTATACCTTGAAAAGAGTATCAAAAATACGATTGCCGGGACATTAAACATTTTGTGATATTATTACAAACATTATTTAATATAAAACTATATATAAGCACAAGTCAATATAAACCTGTTGTACACTATTCATGGACATTTTAACACGCTTATTTCATATATTCTTTGGTATTCAGAATATTCCGTAATGGTTCTGTACATCGCAAAACACAGTAAAAACAACAATATTCCAGTCTAATAGTAAACATTATAGCAACATTATAGCAACAAACATTTGAATACAGATAAGTTTTCCTTTTAGAAGTTTTTTATCGTCAATCTCTAAATGTTGGTATAGTGCACATGTATAAAGATTTCAGTAACATACATTTTTAGACTTCGAAAACAATAATTATTTTACCTGTAAGATATTTCTTTCTATAAATCGTAGTTGTTATAAATTTTGAAGATGAGTGATACAAATGTCACATTTTATATCATGAATGAATATCACATTTTATGTCATGAATGGATATCACATTTTATGTCCTGAATGAATATAACATTTTATGTCTTGAATGAATGTCACATTTTATGTCATAAATGATTCTATTGAATGAAAGTTTAATACGTATCAGATACCTCTCACGGACATCCCGTAAAAGAAAAAAGCAAGAAACTCGATGTTAGTGTTTTACAATGATAACTTACACTGGCCATTTCTACAACACAATGGCTATAAAATATTTACATAACATCTGAATAAGGACATACTCATTGTCAATCCCGTCTGTTCTGGTCACCAACAATGCACCTTTTCTTCTTTTATAAACCATAATGAAAGATATGACCGAGGTCAGAACCGCAGTTATAGGTATACCTATAGCCAGACCCAAAACATAGCTGTGAACCATAGCTTTTCTTGATTCTGAATAAGACAAAATGCACAAATTTTGATAGAAAACAAGCAAAAAGTAGGTAGATAATATTTGTTTTCAACCGATCACTGATATGTTAGCTCAAGATAAAATACGTTCAATTATTTGTAAATACATTGTTGTAGTTAAAATTGATATAATTATTTGACAAACTTAAGACAATGTCAAAAAACTCATACAATAGGGAGAGAGCTCCACAATTGTTGTTTTGTTTTTAAATATAACCATAGCAAGTGGTTAACAGACAATACCTTTTACAATAAGTGATATACTTTTTGATGTTATCCCACCTATACCATTGTGTGCCGTGCAGGTGTATGTACCGGAATAGTCTGTCGAGACGCTTGTTAAATTGATATCAAAACTTTTTGTTTCGTAAACCACTAAAAGAGAAAATGATAATAGTTACTTCATATATCACTTTGGACACATTTTAATCTAGCATGTGAGAAAGACATATTTTACCAGTAAATGTTGAATTTCACATAATTTGCAAAGGTTTCTTAAAATGATTCATATCATTAGGGTTTGACAGTTTTTTGGTTTTTATTGATAATTCTGATTGAGTACATAAAGTGTAGCATATTGTCAATGATTTACAGGTTTCTGTATTATACTCGCCTTGAATTAAACCAGACTGTTTGTACCAAGATAGTGTTGACGGTGGATTACTTTCCACGTGGCAAGTCAAGTGAACGTCATCACCGACGAATATATCTTTGTTTTCTTGCCAAGATATGTTAATAATTGGTGAATCTATAAACAATTCAGGTTATAGCAAAATAACATATCTAAACACGAAATGCTAATATGCAATAATTTGAAAACATCTGCAAATTTTGCTACTATTAATGGCACAACAAATTTGAAAAGGACATCGATCGAACCAGGAGTACTTAGCTCATCAACTTTTCAAACATAACTGATAAAATCCGGCGATCATTCGCTTGGACATCACGTGATACTTTTTCCTGTTCAATGTCTCAGTTTTTAGACTCTTAAACAGCTTTGATACATTTCATGCTGTTATATTTAATTTAGACAAAGAATATATCAAATCAAAAACCTATATACAATACGTAGAATATAAATAATGTTAAAGAATCTCGATTGAAATAGTCTAATAATCATTTCGGTTTGAGGTCATAAACACCTGAACAACATTATGAAAACAAAATTACGATTTAAGTGTCTTTGTATCATGAAACGACTATGGTCTCTTGGAATTAGCACGACATTGTTTTCAAGAATTCTATTTTTAATGTTTGCGACACCCAATTGATCGTTATAGCAATGATATCTTATTGTCGTGGGATCATCTATATAGCTATAAATTAAATTTCTTGTTAGATTGATATGACTGTTTGCAATATTAACTGTAAATCTTGAAATCGATGATTTTCACTGATTTTCACTGTTAAATAAATTGATCGTTAGTATTACTGACTTAAATATCAAAACCAGCAACAGTGAAACAGATATAAAAAACAAGAAAAGATAATAATGAAATACAACGTACATGTAATATTTAGCTTGTATATGTGTTCTAAATTTAGTTCTGGAAACCCGTCAGTTCTTACTTGACATTTTATCTCTCGCTTATCATCAAATCTTGTAAAATTGAAAGTCCAAATCTGAAAAAGGAAATTTATTCGTTTCAGAAAGAGAACAATTAAATAATATTACTTTACCTTTTGTTATGAATTTTCATGATAGAGCAGTATTCTTATAAGGTTATATTAAATTTTCCAGGTACAGTTGTTATTATAAAGAATATTATCTTGAACATTCTAAACAGTAGTTATAGACAATTTAGTAAATATTGCATGAATGTGCTGTTTTGATCGTTTGTATCAATCGAGATAATTTTGTATAGTTGTATTCATACAAGTCCGTATGACGAGCTGTAATACACCTTTATGCGATCAAAGGTCCGATTTAGTCTTGGGACATATTAAACAGTAATTATAGAATATGAAAGGAATATTGCATGAATGTGATATTCTGATGGTTTGTATCAATCGAGAGAATTTTGTAAAGTTGTATTCGCAACAGCCCGAAGGGCGAGCGGTAATACAAGGTTATGCAATCAACAATCCCATTCAGTCTGTGAATCGCATAATAAATGTATTTTTGTCATCAATCATAAAATAAGTTATGTTGTTGGACCTTCATACATAACATAAGTCTCTTTTCGTGTTTACTATTTTCTTCCCTTTTTGATGTTTTTGTTACTAACGTGAATATTCAACTTTCTTATTTGCATCAGCCAATCTATCCACGGCTTATCCAACTTTTGCGCAATTTGCCAATCAAAAAGTTTCACTTTCTGACAATTTCTCAGATAATTTACACATAAATCTTGTACCTACCTTCGTCTCGTTTTACTCGCCTTAGTTTTGGTTTCTTCATCATTGCTTAAAGTCTATATTTAACTTGTATTCATCCGTTTTTCAAGTGATATAAAACATGTTTTCTGGCGTTTTTGTTGATAAATGCCAATATTTCAACTTCAAACATGTCTTATCTTTTATTTTTACAAACTAAACTACAGCAGTAGGAGGTTTCCAGAGAACCATAATGTGTATTTTGAGTTCATGTTAATTTATCATACTTATTTCGAAATTACAATGTGAAAGGACTGGAGACAAATGAAGACAATTATTGAATAAACATTACAAAAACAAAATAGGTCAGGCTATTCAATGTGTTTATTAGACAATGGGATCGCTGAAATTGATATATGTTGTATTCCTATTTGTTTATATATCGATAACATATTCTTTACTTACAAAGATCCTAAATCACACATGCTATACAAAATTTAGTACTTGCAAAAAACTACATTTACTGTTACAACTTCTGGATTTATTTCATCATTGTTTACTATAAATGTATTTATTCCTAACATGTTTGCGTGTAAAAAGCAATATTTACGTCATTATTGTTGGAACATTGATCACTGTTTACCTTATAGTCTGATTTTATTGACCTGTCAATTTTGAATACATTATAGCACTCATTTAAATATTCGATTTCACTTCGGTTCCGTCCGTGTAGTTTACGAGAATTAATATGGAGTAAATCACTAATGTTTTGAAAAGTCACACCAGCTTAATGCATAGGCCATGTCAAATCCGCGATAGCAGAGACGGTAGAGTGATTGTCTAATATATGTCTAATATAGGTATGTAGTTCGATCCCTACTTTTGCCGTTGTTTTAAGGCCTACTCTTTTTCTTTATTTTTGCAGTATATTTTCATGAAAATGGCCGAGTGCTTCCAATATTGTCTACACATATATGAATCAACTTAGAAATATTGTCTCAATTTGTATTGTGTTTTTCGCCATTGAAATGTCATTTTCTAATTTTAATCCGAATTCATTATAAATTTTAATTCTGAAAGCATGTTATTTAAAAGGAATTTAATCGCTAAACATATTAAATCAAAACGAACAACATAACAAGCAAATATAGTTCCGATAATGTTGAAAATAGTTATAAGAAGAAGAAGAAGAAGAAGAAAAAAAACATTGGAGATACGCGGTCTCGATCTCACAACAATTAGGACACTTAGAAATCATTAATCTGTAGCTTACCCTATTCCGCTATACCGCTCAGTATAATTGCTCCGTAGGCACAAATTATATTTAATCAAATCTCACTGAGTACATCTCACGGAAATTAACGAAAATCTTTCGAAGATTAATATATTGTGTGCATTGACCGTGTAATTAGTAAGGAATTGACAGGTTAATAAAACCAAACAATACAATGACTTTTTTTATGGAAATTCTGTCTGAACTATTTTCTTGGGTCTGACGACCAAACAAATAAAACAGGAAAGCTATCAAATATGACATGGCATACTTTCTTCTGTTAATAAGGAACTCCGCTGAGTTTTTTTGACATGACTGTATTAAACATTTTTTTTTCAAATTTAAGTAATAAATATTCAATTGATGCAAGTCTAGATGAGCTTTTTGTTTGCAAAATTTCACATCATTCGTTGACTCCGTTTTCAATTAATCTAATTGTGAAAAATACTAATAATAGTAGTGTTGCGACGCTTTTCACTCATAAAGGCTAGGAATAGCGATTTTTATTTATTTATTTAAATTTCTTTATTGTTTATTTCTCACATCTTTCCATATTTTAAGTGTCCATGTTGATCTATGTACTAAGTAATTCAAATGTTATGTTTACGGAGAAAGTTTTCAATGAAGCTTTACAAGCTTCCTACTCAATCGGTAAATTTTATTTTATGTACTTTATTATGTAAATGTATGGATTATAAATAAGATATTGTTTCAACTAAATTTTATGTTTCTATGATTGTAGTTCCTTTCATATATGATTTTTAGCATTTCACCTACCACTGTAAGTGCCCATCCATGTGTTCCACTTTTTCGCTCGTATGTTTTATCAACCAACGTTCGTGCAACATTTTCAACTCCACTCAAAGCAATAGAACTCTTTGGATTTGATTCCGCTACAGTATATTTTAATTCAATTCTTGTGTTACCATTGTCTTGATTTTGTCTTAACATTTCTTCAACATGTATGTCTTTTGGTGGAACTATCAAAAAGGTAAATAAATGTTATGTCCAACAATAGAGAACTGACAAAGCTGGTGGATAGACTTCATTGTTTTTGTTCGTCGACAGCAGTGATAAATGAAAGCCATCATTCCCGTTCTTAAGAAATTCAACAATACAAAGAAGTCAAAGTATGGCAAATAATCAAAAATACATATTTAGCAGATGTATTCTTACATCGTTTATAACTAAACATTTCATGTGACATTACTTTGGTGCATTTTTAGGACACCATTTAAAAGAATTCACGTGTGGACAACAAAAACCAATAGGTAAGCTATAAGAAAATATAATAATATACAATGATGTATTTCTATCACTTTTAAGACATGATATCAACAAATTCTTTTTTCATCATACAACGGGCGACAGTTGGACTAACTGTTCAAATTAACTTTATAAAACATGTGTATTTTATGTCCTTAAACCTGTCAGTATTATCACAACGTCTTAACTGTTTTGGTTATTTAATCTGCCTTGAATCGTTAAACGTTATAAAACACATAAATTGTTTTCTATTTTGTTTGCAAACATATTTTCATTTTGTAAAATTTAATCAATTTATCTTTATTCCGGGTTGAATATGAGGCCAAACTTACACAATACATTGACTTTCTTCTCTCCACATATTCCATTACCAACAGTACTGCAGCACATTACCTTAACCTGATTATGAAGCCGGGTAAAATTTTTCGTTATCGACGTGGTTATAGTAAACATGTTTCTAGCCCCTGTTTCATTTTTCTTCATCGTGTCAGTTTCTTTTTGACCATCTATATAAACATTCGAGTTCAGTGGTGGTCTGCCGTTAATTGCAATACATTGAACTTCACATTGCGTTCCTTCTATTATCTCGTTGAAACTGATTTCAATCTTTTCTGGGGTAACTGAAATATTAAAGTACACTTAATAACTCAGTATTACTAGTATGTAAATCTTAATTTGTATCATAGTTTGGGGACCTTTCTGTTGAAAATGTGTCAGAGTTAAATCGTATACATATACATGCACAGTGCGTTAACTGGGGTGCAGTTCCCCGCACTCCAGAGCATGCCCATTGATTGTCTCATTTCTGCTGGGTTTACTTATTGTGACTGCAGAGAAAGGGATAGCGATAGAAATATCATATTCAGATGCTTGTTCATTGATTCCTTTTTTCTGGGGTTTCATATTGTGACAACAGGGAACGTGTTTTTATGTTTGACTATGGTACAAAAGAGAAAGAACATCAAACACTCGGCAATCTGATTAATACTCGGGGCTACAACCCCTCGTACAAATCAAATAGCCTCGTGTTTCGATGCTCTTTCTATTACTTAATGTATAATATAACTTGATTATCTCTTACATTATAATGATAACAATTTTATTGGACCAATGAAATGTTATGCATATAAAAATGATAGAGAAACAACCTGTTTTATTATCATGTATTAACCTGGTATAGGAGTTCGTAGAACAAAAATACACTCGTAAGTGCTAAGCGTAATTAAATTATTTTTACAAGCATATGAGCCGTGACATGACATTTCCAACATAGTGGTCAAATTTGACATTTTTTTTTTTTTTTTTTTAAAGATTCTCAAAATGCAATCTTTTCTAAATCATTGTCTCTTAATTATATACTCTTATCATTTAGTTTCCGTTAAATTAATTAATGTATCCACTTGCTGTAATATCTTCCTTATTCTATTCGCAATAAAGTGTTAATTCTGGTTTACATAATGAACATCAGTTCCTACATGTCACTTTATATATGGATAAAGAGAAATACTTGGAAAACATCTTGACATTGGAAATAAAATAACAATCGAAGGAATAAATGTGATTATTGTTTAATTACTTAAAGTAAGTAAGCCATGAAAGTGTTCTCGATGCAAGGACAATATATCAAGTGCCAAGATGAAATTACATTTGTCAACTCATGAATTTTTTTGAAATTCTCTTTCTTATAGACTTAAAATACAATTGAGCGAGTTTCTTTCAGGGGCTGAAGGTAAAAAAACGAGTTTAACTGCGGAATTATGTCATCATTGCAGTGGAAAAAATGTTAGTGCAGTTAGTGTCATTGAATCGAGAAATATACTTAAAGAACAAGATACACTATACACCTATTAGGACATTTACGGAATCAAAAATAATACGTAGGCCAATAAAAATCAGTAAAACTATGTTTACAACACTATGACTGGAATGCTCTGGGTTACATATCACTAAATGGAAATTCAATCTCATTTATAAGCTTGAACTTTTAAAACGATTTGAAAAAGTATTTCTTGCATATCAGACTGGTGTTATTTAATTTTACTCATGCCGGATATTTTATCTGTCATGGGGGTGCCAGAATAGTCGCGTGCTATACAATTACATGCTTAGGATGGCGGTATTTCGCCGTGTAATCTGCTGTATAAAAATAGTTACGGGTGTAATGACATAAAATTCCATGTAAATTTGTTTTAAGGTCAAGAATTTAAAATATAATAGAATATGAAAGACAAAAAATATCTAAAATATGTTTGCGTTTCGGATTGGAATATCGTTCCTTTGGGAACCTGCCGATGGGTAAGTCCCCTTGGGACGGATTTTTTTATCTGAACCGCAACATATGACAGCTATTAATCCTATCATGAATCTCAAATAACAATCCAAACTGGTGACAAAATAAAATTAAAGTTAAATATCTTATCGTTAAGCATCAGTAATTTCTGAAACAGTAGCTTAGTAGACTTTGGATTAGAGAGGTAATCGATTCTAATATATTAAACATATTTCATACAATATCTCCTTTTCTGACTATCATTTTAATACTTCAATACGATAAGATAGCCACAACGTTAGATTAAAGTTAACACGTTTTACCATAAAAGCAGAATATAAAACCTTTATCTTATCAAGTCGTCCACCGCAATTGTCAATTATTCGCTATAGCCAAATGTATGGTAAAACAATAAAATTCAAATTATGTGTACTTCAGAAATGAAATATGCTATAATTGTGTAAATACATGTCTGCGGGGTTAAACCGATAATAAAAGGAAAACATGAATGGGCCAAAAAACGAACCAAGCATACTTGACTGTGATGTGTTGTATATCTTTATACAATAAACATCTATCGATGTTTACCATGTTATGTTCACTGACGATATTATCAGTTTGCAATTGACATATTACATCGATTTAACACTTAATCTAGCGAATATCTGAAAAAATGATAGAACAGATTATTTTTCGCACAGTGGTAATTGGAAAAGCACGCGTCATATCATTAAGGAATATTGGCGTCAACTTTGACGTCGTGTTTGTACGATTACGTCATTTGATCACTATGTTGGAAATGTCATGTCACGGCTCATATTGTTTTAATTGTTTCGTTTATCAGAAAAGGCTAACATTTACTGGTTGCATCGGGAAACATTATTGTCTTTGTAGTTTTAAATGAATCCGTAACTGATTTTTAACATATTATTCAAATCAGATACTCGGTCAATTTCTAAAAAGATACTGACTCGATCTAATGTATCAATACATCCGCATATAGTGTTATATAATATACATCTTTTCAAAAATTCGGTTGATACAGATAGAGCAGAAAGTTTTTTGTGTACGTTAATGCAAATGAGAGGTCAATTCTGTAATGACTGCTGCCTTTCTTATATAAACCGTTTAACGAATTTATTGAATACATTCCTGAAACATACGCTGAAGGTTGTTTGTTGTACATTTATGCAAATTTGATGTCAATACTGTAATAACTGCTGCCTTTATTATATAAACCATTTTACGAATTTATTGATTACATACCTGAAACATACGCCATTACAGATGCCGACGAAAATTCTGAGTGACCTTGATTTTTCACCATACATTTAAATGTTGTGTCAATATCTGATCTAGTTGGCACAAAACTGTATTTTACATAAGTATAGGTCATATTAAATTTGTCTTTATGAGTGTGTATTGCATTCGTAAGCATCAGGTCATTCTTTGACATGATAACTTCTTCTGGTGATCGACCACCTTTAACGGAACATTCAACTATCACGGCTTCATATAGAGAGGCCAATATACATCCTTCAGGTTTGCAATAAGATTTGCTTTCAACGTTGGAAAATACTGGTACTGGTAGAACTGAAATATTTAAATCATCGACTTTTACTTGTATATGTGAATATCATTAATGTTCATTATATTGGTAAATATAAATATGACAGAACATATTTACAATAATGTTAAATATGTAGGGGAAAATAATCTTACCGCGTGGTTTACAAAGGAACTATTATGTATGTCAGTTTTGCAATTAAAATTAAAACAGAACATTAATTTACAAATTTCTGCAATAAAGTCCCAATAGTATAAATATGCATGTATATGTCTGAAACAATCATCATTTTCTAAATGTTCCTGATTGTCGAAAAAATACTTTTGAGTAACAAAAGTAAACATAGTTTTAATATTTTAAATTGAGCATTACAACATTACGTAATTTTAACCAAAACATAAATAAACTTGAGTGTAACACCATTTTCCTTGATGTAAATTATGACATAGTGTTTTCAAAATGGTTGGTCTATGTTGTACGTCTGACCCATTAAATCTAATTTTGATTTAGTATGTTGTTGTTTCTGCGGAAAATACCTAATTGCAACAGCATATGATTCTATCTATACCATTATTATTTCATCGTTTGTTTTCCTTCTTATTTCAAAGCGGCAAGTACCGTGAACTAAGACGCGCACAGTATATTATTATCTTTATTATTATATTCATTTATTCATTTTTTGGAGGGGGTGAAGTTTAACAAATATTTCACGTTAACGATTTATCTTTAGAATAATGTAAAAGAAATAAAAGATAGTTACCAATATTCAAATATACTGAATTCGACACTGTGTTACCGCAATTTACTCTGTATTCGCCTCTATCGCTTAATTCTGTCTTTGAAATATCGAGGGTATGAATCCGTTTCTCTTCCGTCTCTGCTATCTCATACTTCCCATCTACCAGTTGATTAAAGGCCGAAACTAATTTCTTTTCCCAGGTCACGTTTTTGCCAGAAACAACAAAGAATTGAAATGCAACTGGGTCTCCGTCTGTGATGTTTGATTTTGTGACCCAAAGTTCGCCACATTTATCAATGCAACCTTAATAAAAAAATGTTGACAAAATTAAACGAAAATTAATATGAAATTTGACAAAGCTTATGAACAGGGAAGTCGGTTAAAACGAATCGTTGATTTGTTTTAAAGGTATCATCCAGTATTACATGCACTGCTTCCGTTTTCACTTGGAACATCTGGACAATTATTATTAATTATAAGCCAAACAGTTGCGATATTTCCGTTATCGGAATATCCCGCCTATTATCTGGAGTTGCATTGAAAATGACAGCGCCCAACTAGAAATGACATTAAAAATGTCACTGATAGGTATAGAAATCTATATATTTTTATTTTTTTTATTTGATTTCCTTTTAAATATGCACGTGTATTCTATACCCTAGGTCCAAAAATTTGACTTCTCCGTGTAAAATAAAATGGTAACCCATTGAGCATACTTGTAAATATATGTTTTACATTATGTATCCAGGCCTCGACATTATCACCTGATTTTGGTAAGGACCACTTAGTTTTACTGGTCCGTCAGACCACATGAATTTTCAGAGTGGTGCAAGGCTCATCTGGGAGGAAGTCGATTTGGTAAAAAAACATGTTATATACATGCTGTTTAAAATCATTTGTCCGATACACATGTATATGTTCATTCATCTCATAAATTAAAGAAGTTCTTAATCCTTAAAGATTTGCTTACGTATGTTAAAAAGAAAAGAACTTGCTTTATTAATTTAGATAAAAGATTCATCTAAAGGACACTAGTAATGAATTTTATTTAATTGTGATATTGTATTGGATATCGGATAAACTTAAATTTTAGATACTTGAAAAATGGCAGCAAACAAAAGAAAATTAAAAAACATATCTATCTTTATTTAAACAATAACAGATCTGTTTTCCGCAATTAAATTCTATAAGGTTTGAAATACCTTGCCAAAAAATATTAACAAACAAGCAACAGAGAGGTAAAAATTCTGTATTTCAAATCTGTGAAAAAATAAATTCAACTATAATGTACTTATTATTTTGATTACATTTCCTTGTTTTCAAAGACAACAATAAAATAATATAATAATTATATTAAAAATGTTAATCTATAAATTACAGATAATTATTATAAGACGTATCACGTAACAACAATAAGCATTTGAATAACAGTAAGAGAATTTGGCAGACTTATGTGGTATCGCTAATCGAATAAGAATTCCATTCAACATAAAATTTAGCCTAAATAAGTGCATCCCTGATATCTATTTGTAAATGAGGTAAAAATAATAAATCACTTTACAACAAATACCTACTGATTTGCTCTTCTTAATTTCTGATTAGATGAAAATAATTTATATATCTAAAAATATCTGTTTTCTTCAGTTGTTAATAATACATCTCTGTGTATTTTTTTCAAAGTCTGAATATTTTTATTTAATTAAAAAAAAACAACAACAAAAACATGATGGACCACTTGACTTCAAGAAGGACCACCTATATTTCAAATCCAGTGGTCCGACTTACCACCTGCTGAAAAAGTAAGTGTCGAGGCCTGCTATCTAAATGATGAATCAATTGCCTAACTAGACGATATCTCCAACTTGTCATTTACATTGATTAAGGCCCCTTACAAACTATTATAAAAGAGGTAAAAAAGGAAACATCTTAAAAGGTTGAATACGAATTGAAAATAGTGTACACATCTCCCGGTTGTGCAGTGGATATGCAAGCTAAATACGCTTCAATGTTTCGTACCGGATGTGTTGTCTTTCAGTTCATGTGAAGGGACTCTTTATATTCATGTTATGTTTAATTTAAACTATTAATCGTCATACCTTGTGGAAATATTTAATATCTCAAAAGAAAGTTGTAATACGGAAGCAATAGTTCAAAAGCAGAGGAATGAAACCATGCGATAATTCAATGTCGAACTAGCTTACGAAATTGTGATGACCCTATCAAAATGCCCCCTTAAACAATACATATGAGATGACATATTGCGAATTTTCTACTATTTTATCTCAATATTTGCTTAATAGTGTTTTCATAACCCTATCATCTCTTACACAAAATGGAGTGATGTAATTTGTGACGTGGCAACAATTTCACTCTGTTTAATGAAAATGTAATAATTGATTCAACTAATACCTCCTTCTGAAGAGTTTTCAATTACGGTTAGACGTGAACGACCGGTGTAACTTGAACCATTATATACCAAATATCCCCCACTGTCTGTTGAATTAATCTCTGATATAAATAAGATGAACTTGTCCCCCTGTTTTGATTCAAAGTATTTACTTCCATCATATTCTTGTATTCTCTTGTGATTATAAATTATTTCTGCTGTTGCTGTATCCGAATTTTCTCTGACCCATTTGCGTTCTTTGCTATCCTGGTTTGGTGTGTAAATTAGACGTGCTGTCTGGCATTCCATTACCGTTTCTGGTTCGAACTTTAAGGTCCCAAATTTCATTAAATCTGAATTTCAATATAATGTACATATATGATTATCATCAAATGAAGGTCTACATGCATAGAAATTCTAAATGAAACACCATAAAATTAATTCCACTACGGCCTACAAATAAAAAGCAATACCAATCTTTTGAAAACGGCATACAAGATATAAAATCTGTTCTAAAACACTTCTACCACTACTACCACTTCTACCACTACTACTTCTACTACTACTACTACTACTACTACTTCTACTACTACTACTATCTACTACCAATTTTACTACTGTAATTATCATTTTTTTTTATTTCATGATTATCATTATAATAATGATAATGGTAATTAAAACTGTTATTATTACTATTGTTGTTGTTGACGACGGTGGTGCTGTTGTTGTTGTTAATGTTGTACCATTATTTATTTTTATTATTATTATTATCATTGTTATTGTTGTTGTTGTTGCTGATGTTGTTGTTTACTTTTGTTGTTGTTGTTGCTGCTGCTGCAATTCTATCATTGCTGTTGTTCTACAGGAACTTAATGAGGGAACACGTTATTACTAAGAGAGTAATCTGTACGGATCGGAAATAGGTCGTTAGTAAAGGATTAAGTTATTGAGTATAATAATAAAGTTACTTGTCAAATGTCAGAACTGCATTGTTCAAAGACAATAGCCAGGGAAGTTTTCTTTAAAGATATAACTGAGCCACTTATAATATGGAAAGAATGGAGGTTTTCATTTTCTTCTGCAACACGATGCGCTGAAATTTATGATGAAAGTTAAATTGTATTCAAGATTTTTTTTTTTTGAATTTTATGATTATCATTATTATTATCATTATTTGTAGTGGTATTATTTTTATTAAACGATATATTATTACCCTTAGGAGCCCTTTGAAAGGTTCAGCACAACGACTGAGAATCTTTAAAAGTTATCAATCTTGATTTACATCTCAGAAATGATAATGCAGCCTTTTCGCAAAAATAGATTTTATAAAAGAAATGTGTAATTTTAAAAGATTTGAATAAAATGAAATAATTTATGACATTAATATACATGTACACTAGAAATACTTAATGGATTGATAAACGCCTTTCTTTAAAATATTTGAAATTAAATAGACGAATAAAAATGAATGTTTCACGAATGCAACCACGTGGAAAAAATACTTTGTAGTATATCGTTTTAGATAAAAGCTTTATAAATTTTATAACAAGTAAGATAAGTAAATGGAATTGGTTTTAAAGTTACAATCAATGACTTACATATTTGCTACAAAACTTCTAAATATTATAATAAATTTAAAACTACAAGTCCCTAGATCAAGTCAAATTGTAGAACAAAAAATTTAAAATTGAGAAGAATACGAGGGGTGTTTAAATATGAATGCAACTGGGTCAATTTTCAGAAGTGCTAAACAAACAGTACTGAAATAATTATCGAAATACTTACTATCATTTGATAACAAGGTTTTAGTCTTTTAATATTATTTAATGCGTTCTCTTTTAATATATGTTTAATGCGTTCTCATAATATTTACGAGGTATACTGTTCAGACACTGGATAATAGCCCAACCCAGATTTGTCACGTTTGATATTTTCTTCCAGCAAGGTGTTTTTAGCCTCGGAAATAGGAAAAAGGCACAAAGGGCAAGATCTTATTATCTAATTAGAAAGTGAGGAAGCTCGATAACCTTTTCCTGTTTCAGATAGTCTCATACAATGGCCGCTTTGTGTGACGAAGCATTGTCATGCAACAACACAACATGACACCACGAAGCAGTTCTTGATACAGGACCGTATTTGGTCATTGAAAGGAGATCTTTTCCCAACCATTTTAGCTTTTTTATACACGAGTATATAGCGTTAATCGAGATAATACCAAAGCTAGACTGAACTGATTTTCACATATATTGTATCAATTGAGAGCTTAAACAATCCATTTATGCGATAAATGGAAATTGTTCAATGTGGTTAAAAGCGAGATATTGGCCTAGTTTCATTCATATTTGTACACACCTCGAAAACAAAATATATACACATATATGTCTAAACTCACACAAAACTTGAAAATAATTTGTTAAAGTTAAGTTAGCCTTACATGTAAACATGCATACAGGTACATGTGCAAATACTTAAAGAAAATAATTCACTCCAAGGCAAAACCTGTAAGAAGAAAGATATTATTTGTTTTTTTATACAATTATTGTTCATCATGAAATTCTTTTATGAACATGTTTTTTTTTATTCTAGTTACAAGATATAACCCCGCTTAAAGATCCGTCAGTCCCAAAGAAATAAGAAAAACAAAACTATATTGAATATACGATTTTTTAAAAGATATTTATACTTTTAAAAGGCATTATTAGGCATTTTTACACCAATTACCTACAGGCCCCTGATCTAGTAAACATTTTTTCCAACTGGTATTTATTTCACGTTTCCTTAAAGTTTTGTAGCACTTGCAACACTGTAGAAAAAGTAAATATATTTATACCTGCCGAGATGAAACGCTTGTGGTTATAAAAGAAAAACAATAAAATTGTTTTTAAATAATCAACTAAACTGAGTTTTACTCACACGAGGGCCTTATTCCTACAATTATAACTATTACGAAAGTAACACATGCTGCCTTTAAAGATTTCATTGTGATTTGTTAAACTGTTTTATTTAAATAACGCAACAATACTGGATATAAAACGATCGAAAAACAAGGACATTAATTGTAATTATGAAAGGTATCTAGATATATAGAAATATTTTACAATTAAAGTCATTGAAACAACAAAGGAGTCCATTATCCAATTTTATCACACTTACAAATGATTGGGTCTTTTTAAATATCGAGTGAAAATAATTTCATTGTTAAGGGTGGGGAATAACTCAGATTTACTGGTTTGTATAACATTTGCGTTGCTCTAAAAATTATCTTGAAAATCTTGATATTTACGGAAATTAACTATTTGAATTTTATAATAAGTGGCTAACATTTCTGTCTCCTAAAAAGCATTCTGGCACTTCATATGTATAACATTGGACACGCAGGAAGTTGGTAGCAAATATATAAAACCATAAACTTAAACAAGGTAGTCTTTACTCCGACATTCCTTCGCAATATCCGCGTCGCTCGGAGTGCAAAGTTCACACCAGATGGATGACCCAGTAAGGTCATTTTGCTGGTGTTACTAACGGCGAAGAGATGCTTCTGCCTCCCGAAAGAGGTGCCTTTCAACTATTGTCTTTATTTTTTCTACGATGCGGAGAATGTGTTCCTTGGGAGAAGATCTCTATGACAACAGACAGCTTAAAAAGTCTTCCTCTACGACCAGCGCGTCACAAAGGCCGATAGTCCGGGACATATGGCATAGCCGACGCCCAGTATAAATAAACTTAAAAAAACACAAAATTTAGGTCTTCATTTATTAATGACGTGTATCTCAATATGTCTGATGAGATAGGAACTGGTTGTAATTAAGTATCTGATATGTCTGATGATACTGAAGCTGGTTGTTATTGTAACGTTTTGAGGCACACAAGCCCTGTCGTTTAAAATTGGCTGACTTCCAATAGTAGTGTTTGTCCTTAAATATGGGAAACATTCCTTTATGTTAATTTACTTACTCAAATTTTTGCATATATTATGCTCAATGTCAGTTTTATGACGTTCCACCAACGTCATGACATTATTTCCCTCCCCTTCGAGAACTGTTGTCCCAAGACTTGGCCTGGGAAATCATTGGGTACGGCAACTCAAGGCCGGCAGTTGACTAGCACGGGCAGGCAAACCACTAAAATTATACATAAGAATAAGACTGCACCGATGTACAGATTGGAAATTGCGCATGTTGTTAAACTGCACGGATAAACAGACTGGCGATTTTGAATGATGTAGGACTGCACGGATTTACAGAGTCGCAATTGAACATGGTGTAAGACTGCACGGATTTATAAGAATAATCTTATAAGAATCATCATTTTATTGTAACGGCTGTGAGATGGTTTGAAAATTAAATTTCAAATATTACTGATGTCTTTATATATACATCTTGCATTAGAGCTTTAAAATCTAATAAACTAAATGCCAGGAAAGAAGAAAGAGTACAAAAAACTAAAGTCCTTTTTCACTATATTGTCATTCCTGACTTTAATTTATAAAATCTAATGTTAAATTCAGTATCTTTACAACTTGTAGTTAAAATGGATATAGTAATTCTATTTATAACTCGATTTATCCATGGTTTTACTGGTGGTAAAATTGATATATACGAGGGGTGTTCGGGAAATTTAAGGACTTTTGCTGTATTTTTTTCCTTTATGGTGCGTTTTTATCTATACTTCACAAAATGTAATTTAAATATGTGCTCAATATGTAGTATAACGCTCACTAACAAGAATAGACAAATACCGCTCGAAACTTATTTCTATTGTAACAGCAAAACGCATACCCGGAGCACTCCGATTTTATCGTATTTAAGTTAATGGTACCGATATATTTAATTGATAATAATTTTCTTAAATTACAATGGATAATTTCACGAAGAAACACGAGCGTTCAATACAACGTCAAGGTCATTTCCTGAAAATTCTACTCGTAAATCATTACAATTGTTTGAATAACAACGGTTTTAACATCACTGGTGCTTACACAATTCAAGAGAAAAATGACGTCAATAGGCGACATTGAAGTCAGGGCAATCATCAGGTTTTGTGTTGGAATAGAAAAGACACCAACGGAGACGTGTAAAATGAGTCAAGCATCTAGTACAACAACGAAATGCTGTAGATCGCTAGTATTTAGATGGCACGACATTTTCTGAAATGGAAGAGAGTCAATAGATGTTTGATTTCCGAGATTTTCCGGAAATCAAAGCACAGCTGCGTGGTCGATGCTTTAATTCCGGGTTGGAATTATAAATTGAAACCCAGATAATAGTTTCGTCATTCGACAACATCTGGTACGAGGACACGTACGACAAATGGGTCAAGAGGCATAGAAAATGTATCGCTGTGAATGGAGATTACGTCGAAAAGTGTGTCAATATGACGATCGGGGAAAATTGACTTGAACATATTTAGCACTGACGTTAGCGTGCTCCAGGTATGCTTTGGTGTATGTTTTGTTTTATTTGTAATTTACTTATTGTTGAATGTATTTCATTGTAATTTTTACAGCTGGCTGTAAAAGAATTTAATACTTTTATGGTGTTTTTCTTGTTTTTCAATTCCTATCATTTATCAAACTACAGTAAAAGTCCTTAAACTTCCCGAACACCCCTCGTATTATTTTCTTTTTATTTGATCTTTGAAAGTCAAGATAAAAGTGCGAATAATTACCATTTGTTTATTATAAATAATTACTACGTGTATTTCTAGTCAGAATTAATTTTTCGAATAAACTTTTAGGTAATTATTTAACTGTTAAGATGAACTGAAGTTTGAATCATGAAGTATCCAGGGCAATATAAGTATGTGGTAATGAATAGCTTTCATATTTGGTAGTATTTAAGTTATGATTGTACTTTTATTCTAATCGTATGTCAAATGGTATTATAAAAGTGCAAAGCATCCTTTACTCAAAGCATTATAAAAATACGCCATATTTTCTTCTTTAAAAAATAAAAATGAATATAATTGAAGACAGTTTGTAATTGCTCTTTACTATGAATCCACAATGGTAAGTTTGATATATCATATGTTCTATAAAAAGATATAAAAATGATACATGTACATGTTCCTAAATGAATTTCTCATCTCCTTATTAGTATACTGAAAAATGTTTTAAATAATAAATATAAAAATGTTAAAGGAATTGGAAATTACAAGCAAACATTTAGGGAAATATTGTCTTAAAAGATATGTACATGTACCTAAAAATATATTATGCTTCAGGTTTCAAATTTACCAAAACCAATATAATTCCCCTTTTAAATGGTGTCGTCTATGCTATTTTATAGGAATTGCCCAATTGTCCACCATCTGTTTTGTACATGTCAAAATATTTACTCTTTATGTTTTTAAAAAAAACATTCTGAATAAGACAGATAGTAATAAAAAGAACACTTACATGTTGGTTTCATCACTATGACAGTAAGGAAAATAACATATATCGTATTTCCGTTTAAAAGATTCTTCATTGTCAGAAAACAAATGAAGACATTGGCAATTGCACACGCTTAAATTACAGTGAGGGTAACATATACCAATATGTTTATACCTTTTAATATAAACAAACATTGTTGAATCGTTTTTGTTGTTGTTGTTTTCATGACCTTATATCAAGTAATCATGTCCTTATTAAGAAAGCCATCTTAAAAGTTCGGTTGTTAAATGATGTTAAATAAGTGACCTCTTGTAATTATTTAGTATCACAAATAAGTATACATGTCAGATGAACATGGTTTAAAGATGTTAATCGTGAAAGTTTTAAACATTTATCACGTGTAAGGATTATTATTTTTGCTTCCTTCTTCAAGACAATGCCATGTTATTTACACTGTATAATGAAACAGTTAGTGGTGAAGAGAGTATTGATTGTGTACTACAAAGAATGGTTTATTTATAAATGATGACATGCATATACACTAGGAATGCTTGAATGAATGGTTAAAAGCTTTGGTATAACGGATTAGTTTCCCCTTAAAATATTCGCCTTGTTTATGATAACTGCAATTAAACACTGCGTTAACCGACCAAGCAGCTGTAAAGCGAACGCCTACCAAATCCCACTTATTCCTTTCCCATTATGCATACATTATATTCCAGTGTAAATTAAATACATTAAAAGCAAGTTACATATCAAATTATCAAAGCGGGTTATAATTTACAAGTATATTATTTAGATAACGCTTTTTACAGGCTAAAATATTGACTTTGTTCTATTTTACTTACGTTTTATGCACTACGAACTATTTTTTTAATAACCAGCTGTAAAGTTAGTTCCTTCGGATAAGTAAATACATCATGAACAATAAATGAAGACTTATGAATAATTGAAAAAAAAGAAGATAAATTCACAAATCATGCATCGTTCTCCACGTTGTATGCTTATCTATAATACTATTTTCTATGTTAGCAAAAGGGTTTTTTTATCGAATAAAATGTCTCGCCAAAACAGTTGACCCAGAGGTTTTGCTTAAACGGAAGGTGGGGCTATTTCTATTATTATTTTCTTTTGCTGTAAAGAGGGGGCCATGACCCCTCTATTTTGTGAAGGAATTGGTTCTTTTTTACTTTTTGATCCTCTAACTATTTTATTGCCCCATATATAGTTAACGTCGCTTTAGTTGTCGTCTCCATAGCTGTCTGCTATCGTTGCTGCGCCGGTCTTACTGAAATCTACTGAAATCTATCGACACATATTCTGTCTGCTCATGCATAGTAACAAGGGGTCTCTTAACTGCCAGGTCAGGATATTCGGCTATATCTAGGTCAGCATACACCAGATTGTTTCCCCTCTTGTTCTGTAAATATATACACTAATTCTTAATACGGTTTTGTTCTTCTTAAATGAAAAACAAAGTATCACATGTGCGTATCGAAAAGCAAGCAGACAATCTTGCTGGATTTGATATATATGTTAAGTATGTTGCTTGTATAATTATGTCGTGCATTCTGTTGAAAATTTATTACATTTAAGCATAAGCAGTTCAACATTCAAAATCAATGTTGCTGTCATTTGCCTCTTTGTTAGCAGGATACGTTCAATATAATTAGTTTTTTTTATTTTTATTCTTTATAATTAACAGTTTTACAATCACTTACAAGATACTTAATTTAAAATACGAGTTAAAGTATCAATATTTTTTTTTCTTAACTTTAAAAAACTCTTATCCAGACAAAAGTCATGATTTGATAACAAATATACATAAAAGATGCTATAGTCAATTTGGAACAATAATTAAGTTTAAAGGAAACCACAAAAATAAAATATATCATGTATTGCACCAACATCTAGTATCACCACTTCAAATTACATTGTACAATCAAACATGCTATATGTTGGGTGCCAATGCAAAATTTAATGAAATATAATGACAAATGGACGGTGTAACAACGTGACTACATCGCACAGCTGAACCCCAAAATAGATGTTTTTAATTAATTACTAAAACATGTACATTTGAATTTGTTGTACTTGACCTATAAATATACCTGTTTACAATATGATATTTATATTTCCTTAGAAACGGAAGAAGTATGCACAATCAGTGCAGGGCAAAACAAAACTAATAATGCTTCATTTATTATCTAATTTATGGGGAACTGAAAGTTAAATCTTACCAGTTTAAAGTGCCAGTTCAAAAATGAGAAAAAAATATGAGATACAATCCCGTTTTAAGATATTTCATAAATCCTGATTGATTTGATTTTTCTTTAAATGACTTATTTTAATAATTTCAAGGATTTTAAAAAACAGTATTTTAATTTATATCTTCATGCACTATGTTCAAAGTGACGTCAATTAAAATAGCCAATAATTCTTATTTTCAGATTAACATGTTTTAGCTTAAATTCCAAAGATAATGTAATGTCTAGATTGGTTTATAAATAAGAGAATTGTTGAGTACAAATCCTGTGTACAAAGATTCATCAGTCAGAGACATTATGCTTGACCGTGGCTAAATGATCAAAAATATTAACGGAACCATTCATGGGAATTTAAGTCAATAAAAAAGATCAATGAATAAATTCATCTATTGAGATTTATTTTTTTAAATTTTAACAAAACTTGGTAAATTACAAAACATCATGTATGATAATAGAGTAAAACATATATCTAGATAAAGTTTAAGAGTGAGATAGCATAAATGGGAACTTTGAAATACAACAGTTAATTAGTTTGCCTAGTTTTAGAGACAATCCTGGTCCAAGCAGTCTTGAACATATGGGACTTTAAACCCATCTGTAAGATTGTTATCTCCCGCCGATGGAATCGGGAGGGGGATATAGTTTTGGCGTTGTCCGTCCGTCCTTCCGTCCGTCCGTACGTCCGTCCGTCCATCCGTCCGTCCGAATTTCGTTTCCGGAGTAGTTCTCGGCAACTAATGGCTGAAATTCAACGAAAACTTTATGGGAATGTTGATCAGCATGTGAAGTTGTGCACCTGGGTATTTTCGTCTGGATATTTTTAGTATTTTTAGAGTTATTGCCCTTGACTCAGTAAAATTTTGTCCGAATTTCGTTTCCGGAGTAGTTCTCTGCAACTAATGGGTGGAATTCAACGAAACTTTATGGGAATGTTGATCAGCATGTGAAGTTGTGCACCTGGGTATTTTCGTCTGGATATTTTTAGTATTTTTAGAGTTATTGCCCTTGACTTAGTAAAATTTTGTAATTTTCAACTTGTGTCGCATGTAACTCAAAAAGTATTTGACCTAGAGTCATGATACTTTACAGGAATGTTGATCAGCATGTGTAGTTGTGCACCTGGGTATTTTCGTCTGGATTTATTTAGTATTTTTAGAGTTATTGCCCTTGACTTAGAAAATGTTTGCAATTTTCAACATGTGTCGCATGTAACTCAAAAAGGATTTGACATAGAGTCATTAAACCTTATGGGAAAGTTGCTCAGCATATTAAGTTTGTTCCTGGGGTTTCGCTTGTGGATTTATCCAGCATTTGTAGAGTTATTTCCCTTGACTTAGTAAAAACTGTTTCATTATGTTGTTATTCGATCCTTGAGTGCTTGAGTTAGAATCAACCAACTTTACAGGAATAATGATCAACATCACTAAATTACAGGAATAATGATTCACCTCACTGTGATGCTATGAACCTGGGACTTTGCATGTGGATTTTTTCAGTTTTGTTAGAGTTATTGCCTTTGAATTACAGTAGTATAAATTTGCAATTTTCAACTTGGGGTTTGCTTGGGGATTTATTCAGTATTTGTAAAGTTCGTGCCCTTTACTTAGTAAAAAAGATTTTT